GCGTTAGGAGGGACGAAAGGACGAGGCGTGGGGCGTCGAAGGGGGGGGCGATGTGTGGGAGAGATCGCCGGGATCAAAGTCGAGGGGGGTGTGGACGCTGCATGGATTGGAAGAGGGGTGGAGGCAGTGCTCCTCAGCTCTGCCCTTGAGGTGGCTTTTGGAGCCAGGGCCATGCCATGTGCCTCTATTCAGTAACTTCCTGTCCTCTCTTGGGGACGATCCTCACCCATGCCCTCACCGACAAAGCGACCCCACCATTCCTGATCCCCCCACGCCCGATCATCTCACCATCATGTCAGGTGGCATACGTGCTGGGCACGGAGGACTGCTTCTACCGCACGCCGCGTCGGGGGTCCAAGTCGGGCACGGCAGACGCGCGCGACGCCCGCAGCGCCAAGTTCAGGCGCTGGGTGGAGGAGCGGTCGGCCGCCGGCGCCGCGTTGGACCAGCTGGCGGCCGCCGCCCCAGCCGCGGCCGCGGCTGGGGCGGCGGCGGGGGAGGACGGGCAGGCTCACGAGCCGGCCGCGCCCCAGGTGGCGCAGGGGAGCTGGCAGGACGGCGGCGGCGGGGATGCGCCCGCGCCGCAGGAGCCGGCCGGCAGGGAGGAGGAGGGGGAAACCGCGCAGGCCGCCGCCCTGCTGGCGGCCGCCGCCGCGGGTGGCTACGACTGACGGTCCCGTCGCCCAGGAATGAGACCGCGTGCACAATCGAGTTACCTTGCCAAAGATGCATCCATGAGCTGTGAAACTGAAGGATTTCCACGTGCTGCTTGGCAATAAGATCGGGGAGGGGGGTGAAGGGGTGGGTGGCAGGTGCCACCCTACCTACAGGCCGGCAGTGAGGGAAAGGCAGCGTAGGTTTCATGGCCAAGTCGAGACAGGCCTTGAGGTGGTCACCAGGGAGAAGGCTGCTGTCAGTTTGCACAGGAATTCAGCCGGATCCGTGCAGTACCATGTCCAACGTTCGCCTGAATTTTTGCCCATGCCTTCAAGGGACCGCGGTAGAAAGGACGAAGAAGCGCGGTCAAGAGGCAGAGGCTGCCAGGTTTTAAAAGCGCCAGGAAGAAGATGGTCGGGCTGGAGATGAGGCTTCAAGCGCACCATTCCTCGATACCTGAACCTACCCCATTCACACACAAGCTCGCTCACTCGGCGCCATGACGGAGGCGGCACAGCTCACCGACGAGCAGATACGAGCTGGCTGGGGGGGATCCGTGTGGGGGTGGGGGTGGTGCGGGGTCTTCCCGTGAGCCAATGATTTACCTGGAATCATCCTTATTGCACGTTGCAGAGTTCAAGGAGGCGTTCGCCTTGTTCGACAAGGACGGTGAGTGTTCACGGGCAGGGACAGGGTCACAGATCACCAGAACACGCTGTCTGATCAAGCCAGCCACCTGTCACCGCCTGTCCCGCGAACGCCTATCTCACATCCTTTCGCCTTTTTCACTGCAGGCGATGTGAGTATCCGCTCCCCGGGGTGGACCGTGACCGAGCAACTGTGGGATATGTCCTGGGGGCGTTGCAGGCGCACACAATGGCAGCATGCGCCGGTTCTTCACTCGTACATGATCCCGTGAATCCAATCTTCTACCAGGGGACCATCACCACCAAGGAGCTGGGCACGGTGATGCGCAGCCTGGGCCAGAACCCCACAGAGGCCGAGCTCAAGGACATGATCAGCGAGGTGGATGCAGACAAGAACGGGACCATCGACTTCCCAGAGTTCCTCAGCCTCATGGCACGCAAGATGAAGGACTCGGACAGCGAGGAGGAGCTGAGGGAGGCCTTCAAGGTCTTCGACAAGGACGGCAATGGCTTCATTTCCTCTGCGGAGGTGGGTTGGCATGGGTTGTGGAGGGCTTGGCTGGCTCTATTGTAGTGGAGGCAGTGGGTAGGAGCCCTGGTTGGGATACAAACAGGGGAGATCAACGTCAGGGCATGGCATAGGAAATGCTGCCTCCACTCTCCGGCTGCATTTACCCTGGTTCTTTGAGACAAGGGGGCTAGTGGTGACGACTTTCACACTTGCCACCCGTCACCCGTGGGTCGCGGCAGCCCTATGGCTCACCGACAGTCTCCTCGTTCTCTCATCATTATAATTTGCCATGCAGCTCCGGCATGTGATGACCAACCTCGGCGAGAAGCTCACAGACGAGGAGGTGGACGAGATGATCCGGGAGGCTGACGCTGATGGCGATGGGCAGGTCAACTACGAGGAGTTTGTGAAGATGATGCTTGCCAAGTGAGGGCCTCGCCCCAATCGTCAATGTGCTGGCGGTGGGCTGCGGATCCGATGGTGAACGATGCCCTCCTGACGATCACCACCCCATGACACACATCTTCAAGGCCCGTGTGTCTGAAAGCGACACTGCCATGTGTACTGCGTAGTTCTGGTGTAAGCTTGCACGCCATCACTGGGGGGAAAGGACGTGGGCAGAGGAGGGGAGTTTGGAAAGGTCTGTCTGGGGCTGCCCCCGTTGCCCACTGTCCAAATCGAGGTAACGCAGGAAATTTATCTCCGCGCCCAGATCATCAGCATGCAGTCGTAAGTGGGACCGCGTGTTGCCAAGGAGCATACACGGTGCATCGTGAAAGCGGGAGATGCCCCTAGCGTGATGGTGGGGGTGAACATGGTTCTGAAGGGAGGTCGAACGCCAGTGCCTCGCCCCAGCCTTGCACCGTCGTCCCTACGATACTGCCCGCCAGAGACCTCGTGACAGGCCTTCCATGCACCGCACTGAACCTTGCAGATTAGTCCTTGGTGGGCCGCGGGAGTGGCCGTCCCGGCATTGCTGCTCAGGGCCACAAAGGGTGGCCGGAAACCCACCCCCGATCGTGCGGGTACTGCCAGGCACGTCGGGTGCCGGTGTTGTGGTTGGTTCCATCCGTCGATGCCATCATGGCAGCTGTGAAATGATACCGATCATGCCTGACACGCCATGCAGGCTGGACTCGACGGGCTCTGATCCCAGCTTTGTGTGCGAGCGGGTGTGCACCTCCGACCGGCTCATGAGACGGCTAGGCGGCCTGGCCAAGGTGAGAACTTTGGGGAGGGGGTGCGCATCATGGGGCACTGCAACACGCCCTCCATGTTGCCCTCGGCAGCCTCTGTGCTTCTGCAACAACCTCCACGCTGCTTTTCCCACCCGCCCATACAGGATGCCACCCCAAACACGTGCGTCACGGTGTGCGGCACGTCCTCCCAGGACGCCTGCGCCAGCGCGTGCACGCGCTCCGTCTGCACCAACCTCCACCAGGTCCCGGCCTGGAACGATACCTGCATCGAGCGCTGCAGCAGCGAGTGCGTGCGCGGGCGCAGCGCCTGACCCCTGGCGGCCCCCGTGCGGCGGCGCCCCCTTTTTATTCCCTCCCCTCGCCAGCCTCTCACATGCAACGCTGGCAATGCACAGTTGACAACGAGCGCACATGATGGATCGAGGGGGAGCTGGCGGCATGCGTGCAGTAGGGGGG